GTCCAAAGTTCGGCCGGCAACTGTTGTCCGTACAACAATTTCGTCCTACAAATCAAGTTTCTAAGGAATCTAATCCTTTAAAAATAACATGAAAAACTTTAAATCAAAGAGGCCATCAATGTTACTTGGAACTTGGAAATGTAAAAAATACTTGTGAAATTTCGGACATAGATGACCTATGCTCTGGCCTTGTTACGAAAAGTTTGGTAAGGATATTTACTCTTGCAGATTACCTGCATTCGAAACGGAGTTCATAAAGCCAGGTTTCGAATTCTCTTCCACTATTTCTCCAACCATCACAACTTAAGAATTTGAATCCCTCATATCTATGGTTTTCTTATCTGCGGAGGTTGCTATTCTGCTGCGCTGGTTCTGTGAGGATTTAACAATTAACACGACCACTCCTAATTGTCTACTATAATATGGTTTGCCCGACTCCGGTGAGGGAGGGGCGATGATGGCAGCGCACGTTTGGGCGCGCTCTGGTGTTTGTTGTCGTTGTTAGATGGTCTACGAACATGGATGCGTAGTTTTTACTTTTTGGTGTTTTTGCAGGTCTGAAGTTAAAAATAATAACCACGATTTGACAATTTGAGTACATGTGCATTCAGCGTCCTCCTTTCCTTCTTTCTTTTATTGCGAAACGCTCGTCGTACTACTAGTGTATTTCTCCCGTGGATGCTATTCCGCGCGCGCTCGTTGCGACGAGCGATTTCCGACAAGAGGTATGAAGTAAACTTTCCATTTTAAATAAGCCAGGATTAGAGATAGAAAAGGAAACATCCCAGCCCCATCAGTTCAAATCACGGAGGGAGATAAAATATATGGAAGGCACACCCCGGCCCCACCAGTCGAAATCATGGGGGTTGATTTTCTTGATGTTGAAGACACATGTGGTGGGCCCGTTTGTCCTTGTCCGAAAGCACACAACGCCTGAGGCTAATCGCGCGTTGCGACGCGCGGCCGCGAAGGAGCCTTTTCGTCTGGCTTCATTTTTAATACGACGACGACGTGCGGGATCTAGCGGCGTGATTGGATCAGCGAAAATAACATGAGCGGCAATAAATGCATTAATTATTAATCAACCATGAAAGAAAGACGCGGGATCGACGGAGTCGAATAAATGGGACACTCGAGCCTTCATGTGACTCGTGGCACTCATTGATTGAGAGATCCCCCCCTCCGTCTCTCTGGCTTCGTGGCCGCCACTGACAAGCGGGACCGGGGCCCGGTGACCCCACCTGTCGGGGACAACCTCGTAAGCTTATCCCCAGGCCGCCGTGTCACGGGGAGAAGCGGTGGCCGGAGTTAAAGCGGCGGTCGGGGCATCTTCCAAAAAAAAGGAAAAAGATGGGCTGGGCCGCACCTGCGCTGCACATGGGGGAGGCAACGGCGCCATGGCCAACAACAGAAAATTCGGAGAATGTCAGCCCGCCTGGTTCGTCGGGGGGAGATAACGTTTGTCTATGCGACGCGATGGGATTAGCCGGCTAGGTCTAGGATAAAAGATGGTTAGCTGTGGTGGTTTACGCTGCTGCGTGTACAGCGCGGTCCTTGATCTGTCCTTGTCCTGTGTGTAGAGTGTAAGCTGGTGGCGGTCAAACGGATGGGGTAAGTAGGATTTGGATCTCGATCTACTGCACTGCACTGCCCACCGGTTACGGATCTGGAGGGGTGAACGGGCGAGAGAGCGACCTGCGCGTGTTCGTGGCGACGTCATACGGATGCTGCCCCTCGATCGTCATTGGACGGGTGCTCTGGGTGCAGTTTCCGCATCGACGGACCCCTGGGTGTGGGTGGGTACTGAGATGACATGGGATCCGTCCATCCCTCTGCTTCTCTGGGACTTTATTATGTCGCTTGGGCTCCCTCGTCCAGGCGTGTAGTATAATGCTGATTTTGTTCGACCGTAAAATGGTTAGTTTTGAGCAATCTGTCGAGACTCTCGACCATCTAATACTAATAGTATATGTTTTCAGCATTCTGATTATAACAATCTAATTTTGTTACTCTCTTCGTGTGTCAAAACGCTCTTATATTACGGGACAGAGGAAGTAGTTAACGTAAAGCTATTCGCACCGGAAAATATCATGTTTCCTCTATAACAGGACGTTTTAGATCACTATAATAGTAGTGTATGACACTATCTTCACAGGGCATAGTATCATAGTATCATACTTTCTTCGTCCATGAATAAGTGTATGTTTGACATTCAAAATTTATTCACAGAAAGTGCAATTCTATCTTTTCAATGCACTTTAAAATAGAAAAAAATGCTTCTCTCTCATTACATGGTAATCAAGACCAATAGCATTTAACACATTGTCTCTTCACTTTCTATATCCACTTAGCCCCCTCCCAGTGCTCCACTTTGTACATGTGCTAAGCCTGCCATGCAGAAGAAAAATCTGATGTGGCAAGTTAATTAAGAGTAGAGAGATGAGTGTGGTGATACCAGAAAGAACAATGCCAAATGCGTGAACCTAAGCACAACATTTAAATGAAAGAAGCCCAACAATGCATGAAGGATTTTAGTTGCTAAATCATTAAAGGAAGGGAATATAGACGGACTCGCCCGGCCCCCGCGTCGCTCCGCACGGGCGACACGGGAGGTGAAACTAGCAGCCGCTCCCCTGCCGTCCTCCCCCTCGCCGCCGCCAGGGTGCGCCGCCTATCAAAGACTGTGTGGCAGCGGCGGCGGCGGGGCTTTGTCTTTCTACAGGGTGTGGGCGCACCCGTGGCTGGTTCGTGCGGGAGCCAGCGCGGGGTTCATCCTGCAAGCGCCGCCGGTGGTCGGGAGATCCTCTCCTCCGGCAGGGCGGCGGATCCGGGGCCCTCGCGCCCGAATCTGGTGCAGTGGTGGGCGCGCGGCTGGGGAGGCCCCGCGCGGGGGGCTAGTGCACAGCGGAGGTGCGGATCGGCTCCGGCCGTCGCGTGGTGTGCGCGGTGAGCGCGGTGAGTATGCTCGCGTCGGATCTGGCGCACGGCAATGGCCTCCGGCGGCAAGGGGCGACTCGGGCGCGCGGCTGTGGTGAGGGGGTGGCGCGGCATTGATCCGGCGGGGCCGCTCGTCTTCTCCGGTGGGATGGCAGCAAGAGGCAGCGGCGCGGAGGGGCGCAGTTGTGCTGTGCTGGGCGCGTGGCTGCTCAAGGGGTCCGGCGCCGTGGTGCTGGCATCGAGTGCGCGTGAGCTTGGTGGTCGACGGCGGAGATAGCTTGGCGCAGCAGGAAGGTGGAGCCGGTGGATGTCGACCATGGGGATTGTGTGCTGCACAGTGCTTCGGATCTGCTCGGATTCGGAGGTGTGGTGGAGCTCCGGGCGAAAGTCCAGCACTGACTTTGGGTCGATGCCGGCAACAGCGACGCCATGGCTATGGCATCGTTCCCCTTCTTGAAGGTGTTGTTGTGGTGCATTGCATGACTCTCCGAGAGAAATCCCTAGCTTCGGATGGTCGAAGCGGGCGATGACGACGGCTACGTCGTTTCCTTTTTTGAGGCATCACCTTGGAGAGTCAGCATTGTTGCAGTTCACACGTATCTCTTCGTCGTTGGGGACAGTGGAAGTCGGGGCAGCGGCTCCGGATGGTTTCTGATTGTATGTCGAGATGGCGATCTCGGGAACAATGTGAGTGGCAGCTCTATGAGGCGGGGCTCTATCTCGACATTGGTTGGTGGCATCCTTGTCCCGCTTGGGCGGTAGGGGTGTCGGCTCGGTCGATGCGCCCAGAGGGGGCGGTCTGACTTTACGTCAGGGCGGCGGCCCCGGATGTGGTGCGACGTTCATGGTCTGCGAGCGGTTGTCCTGAGTAGCGTGGGCCTCGGGCAGCTGGATTGTGCGGCGTTCCTGCTCGAGGGGAGCGGTGGTATGTCAGGGCGGCGGCCCCGGAAGGCGGTGCCGGTTGATTGCGCTGGGCGCGGCAGAGCGATGGATATCGGGGCAGCGGCTCCGAGAGAATCACTGTGGCGACCAGACTTCTGTGGCAACCATGATGGTGGGAACAAATGGAAGTCAAGTATTTTGAAAAGGAGGGAGTAGTTTTTTCTGCTAGTGTCAATTTTTTGCTGTGGTGAAAAGTGCACCAATTTATAAAGTGGTAGTTTTGTATTAGTGGGAATGTGATAACAATTGTTATGTGCTTTTTACTCCCCACCACGGGTGCTTTAAAAATTGTTATGTGCTATAAAAATGAGTTTAAATGAACACAACCAGGTGTATGTCATGCGAACACGCCAACAAAATTGCAAAAACTGTCTGATGCATGTGGATGTTATATTATGATGCCGTTTCGAAACGACCGGCCAAACTTGTCGTACCCTATCAGAGCTGCTAGTGCCTAAAACATATTGTGACTCATTTTAGCAACGAAGTAATGCACCTGAGGAAAAAACATTTCGCCGTACAGCAGCCAAACCAACAACACTCCCACTCCCACAGATAGCTCACGGAGTCACAGTACTGACTGAACTCAGTCAGCACTCAGCACGCTACAAGAAGACATGACGACAAAGACGAAATATTCCAATAGCCCGTACCCGTCTAACAACATCAGGATTATACTAAGGGCAATAAGATAGTCCAATAAAAGCAAGCATGCTCATGTTAGGAAATCTCAACAGTAATCACACGAATAACCATGCAGCGGCAACACAAAACTAATCCTCCCCAACACCGTGTGCCCAACGTACACGCGACAGAACGGACTGTCCGCAAAGCAAAGCCAAACACACAGAAAGCTTCGAGGAACTAAAACAATCTCAAATCATTGGGAGTACTAAAAAGACAGTACTGGATAGGTGGATATATTAAGGGATGGATAAACGAGTCATGACAGGCCAAAGTACCCAAACGGCACTAAACAAAACCTCCCCTAATGTCCTTCAGCTATGGCATGGGGCCAGAGCCTCACAAGTTCTTTTTAGACTTTCATTCGTTCATGTGCTCTCTAATGATGGATCAGAGTCTTGTAGACCGACAACAAGCAGGACTCTCAACGGCTTCTTCTAGGCGCGTGGAGGGAGGCGGCCTCCGGTCTGGTGGAGCATGGCATCGATCTCGTCGCCATCTTCCATCTCAAGCTGAAACCACAGCGACAAAAGAAGATTCAGAAATCTGAAGGGGGCTATTGGTTGAGGAATTGTGAGAATGTGACCCCACATACCTCATCAGGGGTCTGCTCGGCACGGAGCCTGCGACCGTCAAACAGGAATGCAATAGCTTTCATATCCACAGACTGGCGGTCGCAGTAGGCATTCATCAGCTTCTTCAGCTGGGTAGATCTCTTGATGCGAAAGAACACCTCATTGCCATCCTAAACACACAGGGGTCAGAAAGGTGAGACGCCAATGAAACAGAGTAAGAAAATTATTAAATATACAATGAGAAATAAAACACGACATCATCCTGTTGCAACTACTGAAATCAATAACCATCTACAGGAAAAATCCCGCAACCTTAAGTCATACTTGCATAAATTAGTGCATCCTTCCAGTTTGGTCACTGAATGTAGTCTGTTTTTACCATGAGGTGCTTCTAACCAATATCTAGCAATTAGAGCACTACCTTTTCTACTTTTGAAAGATGTTATGACAACATGTTCATAGAGAGCAGTATAACAATCATAAAAAAAGTTTAACAGGAAACCAAGTATGAAAATGTAATCTGATGCTTTTATATTTCACAAAGAAAATTATCTGATAATTTGGTCACTAAACAACTACCCCAAAATAAACAAATAAACTTACAAGCATATTGTTAAGACAATTCTTCAAATCAAACCACCGCATTATTTGGTTTTGATGGCTTGGCCAACTGTTAGTTCCTAAAATATGTCTATAAACTAGGTAATGTTGTGCCTTGGATATTATACTAAACTGGTACTCCCTCCGTTCCAAATTACTTGTCGTGGTTTTAGTTCAAATTTGAACTAAAACCACGACGAGTAATTTGGAACGGAGGGAGTAGCAGAATACAGATGCTTAAAACAAAGCTTTTTCCTAATTATTTTGTCTGAAAGTGTCCCCTTCTGGTAGCCACTTCAAAACTGCACATACCAACAGCAACCAATACCATATTAAATTCTCACTGTTGACAATTTGGATTCAATCAGCTTCATTTGATAAAAGATGTTCAGAAGCCTCACTGTTCTTAAATTAGCAATCCTACTGTCAAGACAAATTTTCAAAGTAAAGCTTCACCAACTGGTCACTAACAGCATCTGCCTATTGACATTGTACAAACAGAATAAAGATGATTCAAATGAAAACGTTTGCCTAACTATTTTGGTGCCAATAAATGGTCCTTCTGGCAGTCATTTCACAACTGTAGATTACCAACAGTGATCAATAACATACTAAATTCTTTGTTGAGAGTTTCTGCCACCAGAAACTGGATCCAATCACCTTCATTGGATAAAAGTTCACTAGCACCACAAGTGTCCATATGAAACCAGAAAAAAAACATATAAACATCATTGTCCTTGCATAACAAAGTTGCATGAACAATTTAGCATGTACAAGGAGCTCACTGACAACAGCATACAATGGTTGCACAAAACGGTGACTACCTGACAAAAGAACAAATAGGACAACGTTAACTGAAATTTGACAGACAAAATGCCGGCACAGAAGACACATCTTAGTGCAAATATTCTGAAGCGATCCAGGTGTTGGGTTCTATTGTTTCATCTTGCTACTGTTGCCCCATTGTATACTTGCAACAGAAATTCAGCATCAAACAACTAGTGCTAGTGCAGATTGCTCCTTCTTCACAGTTCAATCTAAACATCTCGCAGGCTTGTCAATCCACTACATGTACACAGTGCACCCACGACACCACAAACGAATTTCTAGGACAACCGCGGGCACACAACATGCCGATCCCACTCAAATCGACAAGATTAAGCCATCTATATCACAGGCCACACCTTGGACACCCAGGGACAAACGGCCATCGCGACTAGGGCAATCTGAATAAGAGCACAGGGGATGCAGGCGGAGAAGGGAGGAACGGGGGAACAGACCTGGCCCTTGACCTTGAGGTTGATGTGGGCGCCGCCGCCGTCGCCGCCCGCGCTCGCCGGCTTCTTGTCGTCCTCCCCGCCCGGCGTCGACATCTCCTCGGCCCCTCGCGCGGCGTGGGACTGATCTGCAGCAGCGTCGGCGGGAACGAACAAGGAAGGTCCGGCGATCGCGGCTGAGGTTTTCTCGGGGTGTGCCGCCGGGCGCAGGCGGACTCGGCGGATCTTATAGGGCGGCTGCTCAGAGCCGGATTTGATAACGGGCCCTCGCGTCCGCGATCCCTTCCCCTTCCTCCAAGCCTGCGCGTGTGGGCCGCGTGGCTCCGCGCGTCCGATTGGCGGGCCGTCCGTCCGTCTGTCTCCTCGTGGGCCGCGTGTGCGTGATTCGCACGCGGGGAATCGGGACAGATGCCGGGTCCCACCGCCCCGTGCGCCTTTTGGGTTCTGGATTAGTTTTTTTCCTTTTGGGTTCTGGAGTAGTTACCGTTTCGCCTCCCTCGCTACGAGAAAGCACAGCGTCGGTGTGAATAAAAAAAAATAGTGGATCCGTCACTCTAATTTGAATGGCCGAAATAGTTGTTTTGATCTTCTTTCTGACTTAGCACGATCTAACCATCGTTTCAAAAATTTCACGATATGACCTTTTTCTTACCGTCATCGTCCTTGGCAGTAGGGATACACAACCTACTGCCGAGGTGAATGGCGGTGAAACTTACCGGCGCCATCACGGTCATTCAACGTGGAAAATACCCTTCACCATGGGCTTTGGCGGTAGCTATTTTCAAACAGCAAGATGCTAGCGGTAGCCGAAGCAAGTGGGTCAGTCGAATTTGAAGCAATAAATAAGATGTGTTGCATATGAAAACAATCATGAACTCAAGGTTTAGACGTTAGGTTTGGCACTACAAGGTACAGGGTTCGATTCCAACTTAAGGTATACTTTATTTTCTATTTTTTTTTGTTTTTACGCAATAACATGAAAGAATTGTCCAATTAGTGTTGGATATGTATTATTGTAAAAAAAACACATTTTTTTACTTTAACATGCATAACTTAGAAAAGCAGAACATATTTTGTGATGTGAAGCCAATCTTTACTTTAGCATACATACATAACTTTGACCCACTGAAAATAATCTTAACGACACAAGTGCTACTACGCGTGGAGCTCATGTTACAACTCAATTTTTACATGTGCTAATGCATGTTAGTGTCATGATCAACTAGGGTCTTCTTGTTTTTCCTTTTTATTTCGCCGATTTAAAAATTCAAAAAGAGATGGAGTACTTAAACCATACATTGCATCTGAGGAACCTAAATAAAAGTTTTGTCGTATGGGCCGAGGTACTTTGATGTGATTGTATCTGAACCCCACACCCCTAAACGGCGGGGAACTTTTGTGTATGGGGAACCTAAGGGTCAGGATCGACACCTCATGTGGAGTTTGCTTAGAAACATTGCACCAAAATCAAATGAACCTTGGCAACATGAGCATTTTTCCTATGCGAAGAGGTCTGAGAGGAAGATGGCTAACTTCAGAGATGTCCTCTCCTCCTGCGAGCTACATGACTTGGGTTACAAAGGCCCAAGTTGGACTTATGATAATAAGCAAGGGGGGAGCCAGAATATCAAGGCTAGATTAGACATGGTTGTGGCCTCACAAGCTTGGTGCAACCTGTTCAATGGCCACACAGTGACCCACATATGTTCAACTCGCTCCGACCACTTCCCGATACTGGTGGAAACGGGTGCCAGATATGTGTGTTGTGCACGAAAGCGTGGCTTTCACTATGAACAAATGTGGGAGCGCTTGCCCTCTCTTTCAAACCACACTGTTGAGAAAACCTGGACAGGGAAAAAGAAAGCAAAGAATTTGTCTGAAGTCTCAGATAAGTTACAGGAAATGAGGGGGTCCCTTAGCCGCTGGAGCAAGAACAACTTTGGCTCGGTTCTCCGAAAAACCAAACAGATTAGGGACAGTATTAGCAAGCTTTTGGAGGAGCAGCAGTCGGACTCTAGGGAGTTTAGATTGAAAAAATTGTCAAGCGAGTTAGATGAGCTGTTGTTACGGGAAGAAATAATGTGGAGGCAACGATCGAGAGTCCAATGGCTAAGAGAAGGCGATAGAAATACAAGATATTTTCAGAGGAAAGCTACGTGGAGACAGAAGAAGAATGCAATTTGCAGACTAAAAAGGGAAGATGGCTGCTGGGTCGAGAAAGGTGACGACCTTAAGAAAATGACTACAGATTTTTTCAAACTCTTGTTTACTGCAGATAACGAAGTGGAGCCTAGTACGCTGCTGAATCTTATCTCTCCCAGAGTAACGGATGAAATGAATGAGTCCCTGACCAAGGCCTACACGGATGAAGAGATTGCGGATGCCCTGTTCCAAATAGGACCCCTAAAAGCCCCGGGAGCTGACGGTTTCCCTGCCAGATTCTATCAACGAAACTGGGCTTTGGTAAAGGAGGATGTCATACCTGCAGTTAAGGACTTCTTTAAGTCAGGGCTTATGCCTCACGGGGTGAATGACACGGTTATCTGCCTAATTCCAAAAGGCAAGGACCCCCAACATTTGAAGGACTACCGACCAATCAGTCTTTGTAACGTTTTATACAAAGTGGTGTCAAAGTGCATTGTCAATCATCTCCGGCCTTTTTTGGATGAGATTGTTTCAGAATCTCAAACCGCTTTTGTCCCAGGCAGGATGATCACGGACAATGCTATTATAGCTTTTGAGTGTTTCCACAAAATTAGCCATTCCAGGAGCAGTTTTAACACACATTGCGCCTACAAGTTAGACTTGGCAAAAACCTATGATCGGGTTGATTGGGGGTATTTGGAGGGAGCACTCCACAAACTAGGCTTTGATAACACATGGATTCAGTGGGTGATGTGCTGCGTCAAATCGGTGACATATTCGGTCAAATTGAACGGAGAGCTGTTGGAATCTTTCTCCCCGACGAGAGGGCTCAGACAAGGCGATCCTTTGAGCCCGTACCTGTTCCTTATGGTGGCTGATGGCCTGGTAAATATACTCAGAAGAGAAGTAGACAGTGGTAACATAACGCGTCTCAAGGTTGCAAGAGGCAGCCCTGGGATATCTAATCTACTCTTTGCCGACGACAGCTTTATCTTCTTTAAGGCTACAGACCAGGAAGCAAAGGTGGTCAAGGGAGATTTGGAAGTCTTCCAGAAATGCACGGGACAGCTACTCAACCCATCAAAATGCTCGTTGTTGTTTAGTGAACTTTGCCCACCCGTGACACAAGGAGATATCAAGAACACCCTAGAGGTTGTGTCGGCTACTTTTGAAAGTAAATACTTGGGGCTGCCAACTCCTGAGGGAAGAATGAAGTATGGGAGTTTCCAGCCGATCATGGAAAGGTTTACTAAAAGATGTTCAGATTGGAATGAAAGATTCATGTCCTTTGCGGCAAAAGAGGTTAATGTGAAATCGGTAGCACAAGCTCTACCAACGTATCCGATGGGAGTCTTTAAAATGCCAATCGGTTTTTGTGACAAGTACGAGAAACTCATAAGAGATTTTTGGTGGGGAGACACGGAGGATCATAGGAAAGTACACTGGATGGCTTGGGACCAAATGACCAAACCCAAAAGAAATGGAGGTCTGGGCTTCAGAGATATGCACTCTTTTAACCAAGCATTGCTTGCGAGACAAGGGTGGAGATTGATTCAAAATCTGGACAGCCTGTGCGCTAGGGTTTTGAAATCGAAGTATTACCCAAATGGAAATCTATTGGATACGGTGTTTGCTGCAGATGCGTCGCCCGCATGGAGAGGCATCGAGTTCGGCTTAGAACTACTAAAGGAAGGCATAGTGTGGAGGGTTGGAGATGGGAGAAGCATCCAGATATAGAGAGATAACTAGATCCCGGGAAGGAGTGGGCTAAAAGCTGCCTCTTTCACACGAAACTGCAGATTGAGATGGGTAAACCAACTTATTAAAACTGACACAAATGAGTGGGATGTGGATCTCATTCGGAGGGTGTGCCCAGTTTATGATGCCGAAGAAATTTCCAAGATAAGGCTCCCTGTCAGGAAAACCAGCGACTTCATAGCCTGGAACCATGAGGATTCGGGATTGTTCAGCATCAGGAGTGCATATAAACTGGCTGAGGAGATCAAGAATAGAGACAAGCCAGTCGCATCTAGCTCCACCAGCGAGGCGAGCAACGGCAGCATCTGGGACTTGATTTGGAAGTGCGAGATTCCCCAAAAAGTTAAAATCCTAAACTGGAGGGTAGCTACAGGTTCCCTAGCCACTACAAGTAACAAGAAACGGAGGACCCTGGAGATCAACGCCACTTGCCCTATATGCGGGCAGGAAGATGAGAACGAATACCACGCGATCATCAACTGCACTAAGACCTGAGCTCTGCGCTCTGAAGTTCGGAAAGTATGGAAGATCCCAGGTGAGAAAGCCTTTGCGTATACTGGCCCTAATTGGATGCAGTGCCTCCCTGACACATGTGATATGAGGACCCGCGGTAGGATTCTCCTGTTGTTCTCGAGAGCGTGGTTCCTCCGTGAAGATTGCGTGCATGGCAATGGGAAAGCCTTGGTGTCTGTGTCGGTGAATTTCCTACAGCGCTACGAGATGGAAATCATGCTTGCCTCGGGACCTGAGACGGATGAAGCGGGCAAAACAAGCCTATTCCCTACGCTGCCAATTAGGTGGTCACGCACTTCAAATGGGCCACCCCGCTGGAACCCCCCTCCGGCTGATAGTTGGAAGATGAATGTTAACGCATCCTTCTTGAGTGACAGAGACATGATATGTCTCGGGATGATTACAAGGGATTCCAAGGGGTTGGTTGCGATGTCGGTATGCCGAAAGATTAAACCTAGTGCAGGGATAGAGGAAGCGGAGGCAGAGGCAGTGCTGATGGGGATGAAGGAGCTAAGTACACACTATCGTGGGCCAATCATTATCGAGTCTGACTGTTTGTCCTTGATAAATCGACTGCAGAAGACCACCCCGGACAGATCGCGGCTATTCCACTTTGTTAACGACATCAAGAACCAGGCCACTGTGTTTAGCTCAATTACCTGGTCGGCGGTCAAGAGAGACTGTAACAAGGTGGCCCACGAGCTGGCAGCTTATGCGAGAAGCAAGGGAGAAATCAAAATCTTTGCAAATGTCCCAAAGGAGCTTGCAGAATTAGTCTTTAATGAACGCCCCACCCTGTAAGCTTGTTAGGCCTTGTAGGCTGTTCTAAAAAAAACCATACATTGCAGCAGCGAATCTAGAAAGTAAATAGAGGGCAGGCTCGAACACGCAAGGAGGTAGATGGGCCAAGAAGCAGCTGATTTGCTAGGCTGGGCCGTGATTATTACTAGTCTCTACTATTTAAAAAGAACGTAAGATTCCCATTTCACCTTTCTCTTCACCACCCTTTCGTCCAACCTTTCATTTATATGACAATCAATCACCTTATCTTTTGAACCAATTACACTTTAATTTACTTATCTTTTGAACCAATTACACTTTAATTTACTTATCAAACTTCTAATCAAAATATAAGGTAATTCACGGTCATGATTTGATGAACATTTATTTACAAAATCACATTATTATTGATAGGTAAATCACAAGCTAACGTACTACAATATTTATATCCCGTTGCAACGCACGGGCATTATTCTAGTAAATACAAAATTGATCTAGTTGATGGGCAGACTCAAGCATGTTAAAGCCT